GGATGATCGTACCCCCTATGATTATCCCTATTCCGGACTGTTAGTATAAGGGGGAACATCCTGAGGTTTAGGCTTGGTTGATGTTTTTAGGGTTTTCGCAGGATTCCGGGACCTGCGGAACCTCAAAGTCTCGTGTACAAACCCCATCTTAGCTCCCTTAGGTTGGAGAGAATCAAACGGGTTTCGGGCTTGGGGTTTAACATAAGGTTTCTACTAGGACCCAGAGTAGGCCCTTATTCCCCCTCTTTTAAGGTGTAGGCTCGCTTCTACACCCCTTTAAAACAAAAAAATGCACCCTTGTTGTTGCTAGTTTTCTCTTCGGCCTGGTCCAATTGCCCTAACCCCTAGACCAAAAAGCGGAAACCTAGGGTTTAGGGTTTAGGGTTTAGGGTTTAGGGTTTAGGGTTTAGGGTTTAGGGCCCGAAATGGGCAGAGCCGAGCCAAGGATGGGATTCCCTTGGCGAGTTCTTGGCCATGGCCGTGTCCCTGGAGGCCCTGGTTGGAGTTTTGTTTTTTTTTGGTTTTCTCGGGTGTTTGCTTGAGGGCTTAGGATTGGGATGTTCCCCCTTTTTCTAACAGCTCGAAATAGGGATTCTGGACCTAAACCCTAAAAACCCTTAAACGCTGGGGCGTTTTGTTCGTTTTGTCTTTTAGGGTGTATGGGGCTTTGCGGAGATCTGGAACTCCTGGAGGTTAGAGATTTAGCGTTTAGCGCTTAGAGCTTTCGGGTTAACTACCATTTGCCTCAGGACCCCCCCCCCCCCCCTCCCCCCAAAAAAATAAATAAATAACCTATTCTTCCTTATGACGTATAAGGGTAATATAGGGATTATTTTATTGTTTAGTGTTTCGGGTGTACGGGTGCGTGTTGAGGGCTCTTGAGTTGCTGCTGAAGTCTTTCAGCTATCTTAGAGTTCGGGCTGATTTGGGGGTTGAGGTTTTAGAGGTTGCGAGTCTTGCGGTTTGCAGAGTTGCGTTTCGGGTGTTTCCGAAACCCTCACCCCGAAACCCTACATCCCAGACAGGGCCTGTTGAGACTCCCTCTTGTTCCCTGAAACTTCATAAGCTTCCTTGCGTCAGATGCCCCTAGATGCCCCCCCCCCCCCCCCCCCCCCCCCCCCCCGGCCCCCTACGAAGCCTACACAGTGCTGCTTCAAGGACCCGATATGCATATATTTTACAGATTTGCGAGGGTCTCGACTCCCACGTCCTGAGGGTTGACAAGCTAAACCCTCATCGTAAGCCCTATGAAGCCCAATAGGGTGTAGGGTTTAGTGCTTAGGGTTTAGGGTTTACGCTGTTGACCCCTCTGGGCCCTCTGAGCCCTAATAACAGGGTTTCGGGAACAAACCCTATCAGATGACCCTATAAACCCTTTACGTGCTATAAGCCCCATAACCGCCCCAAACTCCCTGAATCCTACACCCTAAACCCTAGACTCTAAACCCTAAACCCTAAACCGGAAGAAGCCAGGATGTGTCCCTGAAGACGGGGAATCCTGACGCCAAGATCATGGCCGACACCCTCTCGGCCGCAGTAGGCGGGGGCATCTTTGGGGAGTGGATGTAGGGTTTGGGGTTTAGGGTTTAGGGTTTGGGGTTTAGGGCCAAAACCCTAAACTCTAACCCAGAAATGCCTACAGTTCAGGTCAGGCGGCCAGGCAGTGTTTGTGGGACTAGGCTGCTTCAGGGCATGATCGGAGGGACCCCAACAAGGACCTCAGTCTTACTACCCTATAATGCGTAACCCTTACCTTATGCAGTCCTTATATACCGAGGTTGCCCAAGTATCTCCAACAAAAGCTCTAAACCCTAAACCCTAAACCCTAAACCCTAAACCCTAAACCCTAAACCCTAAACCCTAAACCCTACACAGCTCGTCTAGGGTCACAAGGGTCCCTCCCTTAGGCTCGTCAGCTTAATGTTTAGGGTTTAGGGTTTAGGGTTTAGGGTTCAGGGTTCAGGGTTCAGGGTTTAGGGTTTTGGGTTTTGGGCTTAGGGTTTAGGGTGGTTGTTGGCGCTTCTCCTGCTTGTTGGGGGGATGCCCTTCAATCTTGAAGCCCAAGCCCTGGGCTGCAGGCAAACCCTAAACCCTAAACCCTAAACCCCAGTAAGTTCTAGAGCCGCAGGCAAGCTCATGGACCAGGGCAAAAGCCCCAAGCGAAAGGCCGAAGGGTTTAGGGTTTAGGGCTTCAGGAGTTTGGAGTTTGGGGTTTAGGGTTTAGGGTTTAGGGTTTAGGGCTACTGGAGTTTAGGGTTTAGGGATTGTGGGCTAGGCCCAGAGGGGTCCCACACAGGAGCCTCACCGCCTGATGTGCTCTTAAAGGTTAGGTTTTAGGGTGTCGGGTTTAGGGCGTAGGTCTCCTTCGCAAGTCCAGCAAGAAAGGTTTAGGGTTTAGGGAGTTTAGGGAGTCCTTCGCAAGTCGAGCAAGAAAGGTTTAGGGTTTAGGGAGTTTAGGGAGTTTAGGGAGTTTAGGGAGTTTAGGGTTTAGGGTTTAGGGTTTAGGGTTTAGGGTTTCAACTTTCTTCTTCCGAGGTCCGGGACCTGGTATAGATTCTTGTGTTTTGCTTCCTTCTTCTGGGGGATGACTTGGAATGAACTTGCAAGTTCGAGGGGTCCTATTTCTTAGACCTTCTCTGCGCCCCTGCAGAGATTTGAACCCTGGATGTGAGAAGGATGGGGTTGCGAGCTCTGCAGCTTTCAGGGAGTTGCCGAAGCCATACGCCCCAAACTCTGAACTCCATGAGCCCTAAACCATGAACTCCTTTCCTAAACCCTAAACCCTAAACCCTAAACCCTAAACCCTAAACCCTAAACCCTAAACCCTAAACCCTAAACCCTAAACCCTAAACCCTAAACCCTAAACCCTAAACCCTAAACCGTAGCAAGCCCGGGAGGTGATGGAGCTCGACAACAGAGGCTCCCACTTCTACCTGGCCCTCCTCTGGGCCGAGGTGGCCGCTCTTGTTGAGGGGTTACTTGTGGTGGTGTTTAAGGTTCAGGGTTTAGGGTTTATGGTATAGCATTTATGGCTTTAGGGTGTGGGGTTTAGGGTTTGGGGCTTAGGGTGTATGCTGCGGGGTTTTCAGGATTTGCAGGGTTTAGGGTAACGCAACTGGGGGAGAGCTGTTCACTTCAAGGGTGTTCTCAATCACAAACCCTAAACCCTAAACCCTAAACCCTAGGAAAAGAGGTCTCCCACCGCAGTGCAAGCTCTTGGCTGAAAGCGTGTTCTACGAAGCCCCTGAAGAAGTCATACCACCCTCAACCCTAAGCGACGATGGCCCCCTAAACCCTAAACCCTAAACCCTAAACCCTAAACCCTAAACCCTAAACCCTAAACCCTACCCTTGGTTCCTGTTGATTCAGGGACTCTTTTCACCAGGGTACTCTCGAAAAAGGACCATGGCTTTCAACGCCTTAGACCTTAGGCCTTGTAAACCCTACGCCCTAAACCCTAAACCCTAAACCCTAAACCCTAAACCCTAAACCCTAAACCCTAAACCCTAAACCCTAAACCCTAAACCCTAAACCCTAAACCCTCCCTTGCACCCCCCCCTCCCTTCAGAGCCCAGAGCCCAGCGAGGAGCTGGCCGCCCAAACCGACTCTGCGATGCTGCAGGTGCGGCTGCCTTGGAGGGCTTAGGGTTTAGGGTTTAGGGTTTAGGGTTTCGGGTTTAGGGTTTTGGGGACTTTCTCTTCACACTGTCTCCTCATCTCTCCTCCTTTCTGTTCTCTCTAACCCTACCTTTCAAGTACAAACCCCAACAAAGGGTGTAGGGTTTAGGGGCTTAGGGGCTTTAGGGTGTAGGGTGTAGGGTTTAGGAAGTGTTGGGGCCTCCAGAAATACTCACAGGTTGCTGTGGGACATGTAGGGTTTAGCGTTTAGGGTTTAGGGTTTAGGGTTTAGGGTTTAGGGTTTAGGTATACCCCCTTAGTCAAAGTACTCCCACAGGGTGCAAAGACGCTGTACTGAGAAGCTCTTTTGACCCTATGAAAATCTCATAACCCCACCAAGCCAAAAGGGCTTCCAAGTATACATGTATGCTCTGGGCACAATTAGGAAGCATGGCTCTTGGTGCCGAAAGCCAGACATAGATAGTGTCCTGGAACCTTCTGTGGGGACCTAAGTAGAAGCCCTAAACCCTAAACCCGAATCCCTATACCCTAAACCCTAAACCCTAAACCCTACACCCTAGATTTCCAGGAGCGGTTCAAGCCCATCGCCCAGCAGCTGCGCACGTCGGAGGCCAAAATCCTGGGCTGCTCGGCATTGCAGAAGTGCACAGGTTTCCGCCCTAGAAACCCTCAACCCTAAATTCGGAATTAGGGTTTAGGGTTTAGGGGTCTAGGGTTTAGGGGCTTAGGGGTCCAGGGGTTTAGGGGTTCAGTGGCTTGGGGGTCCCTAAGACCCAAAAGTTCCCTAAACTCATGAAATCTACACCGTACTGGGGAACATGGCAAGGCATGAGATAGTCTATTTAGGGTTTACGGAACTTTGGGGGGTTTCAGGGTTTAGGGGTGTTTTAAAGTTTCATCAGGGATTATGTCAAGCTGCTTTGTTTCTGGAACTCGTGCTTTGCAGGGCCTAAACCCTGAACCCTAAGCCCTAAACCCTCAACCCTCAACCCTCAACCCTAAACCCTAAACCCTTAAACCCCAGACCATTCCTGCAAGAGGGGGTGCCCTTCCCTAAGGGTCCCCGTACCAAAATAAGGAATACTTGGGCCTTAAAGTATCTCCTATATAGGGACCATTGGGCCCAGGTATGTAGTACTATGGTCCATGGACCCCAAGGGCATACGTAATTTGAACCCTAAACCCTAAACCCGCAAGCCCGAAGCCCTAATCCCTAAACCCGAAACCCCTTCTTTGGGTCCCCTTTGGGGTTTAATTAGGGTTTTGTACCCTAAACCCTAAACCCTAAACCCTAAACCCTAAACCCCAAACCCTTTGAATGCCCCTCAGCTGCGATGATCAGTGCTTCTTGAGAGAGTCTGATGCCGTGGCAAACTCCCGACCCAGCGCTTGAGGAGATGTGCACACGTCTCGAAGATGAAGCTTGGCAGCTGACTAAGGACACGTTACATTCTTCTTTGGGGTGCTGCAGAAGCCCCTTAAGCAGATGTTTGATGGGGTACGATCATGCCCTGTAGAAACTGCAGTTGTGCACTGGTTTGGGGCTTCTGAACTCCGCAACTAAGTTAGAGAAACCCTAAACCCTTAACCGTAAACCCTAAACCCTAAACCCTAAACCCTAAACCCTAAACAACTCAGGATGGTGAAGTTGAGCCCAGAGCCGGCCCATCTTACTCGATTGAGACCAGCTTCAGGTATCATCGCGGCTGCGACACTTAGCTACTATCTGCCCAAGAGCCCCCCCCCCCCCCCCAAAAAAAAAGAAATAATAATAAATAAAATGAAAAATGGGTAATCCCTGTACCCTTGCAAGGAAGATTATTTCTTCATTAGAGGTGGGGTTCTTTATCAGATTCCCTTTCTAACCCCAAAGTTTAACCTTTAGTTCCCCAATGGTGCTGGACAACTAAGGACAGCGCCAGCCAAGACAGTCAGGCACGAGATGTCGCCAGTCGCATGCGCAGTGCCGTGAAGGCGGTGAAGGCAGTGTTGGAGCAATCGCATCTCGAAGTCCTGCAGTTGCTGACGAGTACACAGAGTGTTCCAGCGGCTCAAGACGGTCAACATTCATGTGGCGGCTTGCCAATCGACTCATCGCCTGAAATGGCCGTGCCTGGGTAGCCCAGTGGTAGCCTTTTTCCTTTTTTGGATTCAAGGCCCCCTTGTAAAGTAACCAACCCCAAAACACCCTAAGGGTCCATGTACCTAAATAGGGAATACTTGGGCCTTGAAGTACTTCCTATATAGGGACTTTGGGGCCCAAGTATATAATAATGAGGTACATGGACTCTTAGGGACAGGGTACCCTCATTGTTAATGTGGTTACTGGGCTACCAAGGTACACACCGGCAAGCGAAGTGATGCAACATCGGCTGCAAAGCAAGGGAAGCATGGAGTCCGCACCTGGGTACGCCCTTGGGATATTTCTACCAGTTTCCTTCGTTAGGTTTTAATTAAGTGGGTCATGGTTAGGAATATTCATTCTTGGGAGGGCAGCCCTAAACGCTAACCCTAAACCCCAAAACGCTAAACCCGAAACGGAAGGGTTTTTGTAACCCTAAGGGTCCATGTACCTTATTATTATATACTTGGGCCCCAAAGTCCCTATATAGGAAGTACTTCAAGGCCCAAGTATTCCCTATTTAGGTACATGGACCCTTAGGGTAAGTGAGGCACCAAGAAGAGTCCCATGAGTTCTGGCCCGGTCGCCGAGCACAGCTGCTGCCTTTCCAAGCACCTGGGCAGGGTTTCGAGGGACCCTAAATTCTAAACCCTAAGCCCTAAGCCCTACGCCCTAAACCCTAAACCCTAAGCCCTAAACCCTAAACCCTTGAGAATATCTTCAAACCCTGGAGGATATCTTAAACATGTTCCTTAGAATGGTGTTTTTTTCCGGTGAGCCGTGAATTTCCTTATGGCTGTGTTTGTGTGTGTGTGTGTGTGCGTGCTGTTTTTTCAAAAAGATCTAAGAATTTGCACTTCGAGGCAGTTTTTTTAGATGGTTTTCAAGGGTCGACCAGGCAGGAGGAGCTCCCGGAGAAGAGCCGCCCTACCGGACGTGCCACGCGCATTCGCATCACGCCGCAGCACTTCAGCCCCTTGGGCACCGTCTTCCGTGATGTGAAAGTGAAGCTTGGCTTTGTTCTGGCTGGCTCTTGGGACTTTAAGCTGGGTTTTTTTAGGAACTACAATCAGAAGCCTAAAATTCAAAAGTTAAACTTCTTGGGGAGGAGTTCAAAAAGTAAACCAAGGAACTTCCTGCCCACGGACTTCTCAATCCAAGCCGTTGATTGCGAAGGCTATGCATGGACAGCTCGTTCCAGCATGATCGCAGGGCGCCTGGATGTGGATCGCTGCAAGTACAAGATCGACCCACATGGCAAGGATGTGCTCATTACCATGTGGGTGGACGGGGGTCAGTCCATGAAGGCCCTGAAGCGTATTCAGATGTTCCGAGCATACGAGTTGGAGGAGCTCTACATCTAGCGCTTGGCGATGATTGAGCACCTGCCTGCAAACGTGGGCTGTGAGCACTTCTGAGCATACTGCCCTTGCTCGGCATTTAACCGGTCCCAACTCTGACTTCATATGTTCGCAGATTTGCGCGGTCGAAAGCCCTAGGCCCTAAGGCCTAAACCCGTCCTTCGATTGATTCCTTCGTGTGTCTGTTCGGAGTTGAGGCGCCAGCACTCCCAAGGATGGAAAGAGCACCCACCAGGTTCAATGCGCTTTCAGACACCGCACTCTTTCAGCCGAGATGTTGCATGAGATGTTTTTGACTTCAGCATGCTTCAGCAGTGGTGCACCGGCTGTTTTCGGACATATGAAGCCCTTGTGTACTTGCATGTATTTGGTACTATTGCAAGTACAACCTCCTTGTAGAGTCCTTGAAAATCAGACTCCAAAAGCAGCCCTGGGTGCAGCGTTCCACTCACATGACCCTTCCATCCTGAATGAGATGCGGTGTGACCGCCGTGCTCTCAGCCTGTTAAGTGAGCCGTGAGCCCGCTGGCTACAAGTTGCCGTTGAACGTGCACATGCGGTTTAGGGTTTAGGGTTTAGGGTTTAGGGTTTAGGGTTTAGGGTTTAGGGTTTAGGGTTTAGGGTTTAGGGTTCGTGTGCAAGTGAGAGGCACAGCTGTCCCAATAGCACAGTTCGGCCTGCCCCTGCCACCTTTCCGGTTGCGCACAACAGGTCAGCAGATCCTGCGCACCACGCACATGTGGCTCGGGGCTTAAAGGCCGCAAAATGAATTTTGCATTGGTGTCACACTCTAGAGAGCACGCAGAGAATGTGGAGAAGGCCTGTGAGGGTCTTGGTCAGCTGTGGACATACTTGGTCCTCGCAAGTGGACCTACAGGGGTCATTGTTTGACACGCCTGGAGTGCTCTCTTCACCTCTTCCGTTTGCCCAGCCCAGCCGAATGAAGTGGGCAATGCCCACACCTTGCTTCAGTGGATATAAAACAGGAGCCTGAAGAGTTACCAGCTCTAAACTCTTCCATGTTCTCTCTCTCTCTCTCTCTGTCTCTCTCTGTCTCGTCTGTCTCTGCCTCTGCCTTTTCCTGTAGTTGTGCCGCCCGCGCTGGTACTTGTTCACTGCAGCCTCAGGTTACACACACCTGCAAGAGAGTGCATACATGCCGTAGGTTACAGCCTCGTCACCTCAACTGTTCTCGTCATTGTCGTCTCAGTTTCTCTCTCTTTCTCTCTCTCTCGCTTCTCTCTTCTCTCTCCTCTCCTCTCTTCCTCATCTCTCTCTCTTTTGTTTCTTCTCTTTCTTCTCTTTCTTCTCTCTTATCTTTCTTCCCTTTATTCTCTCTCTCTCCTCCCTCTTTTCTCTATCACACACTCTCTCTGTCCTCAGAAACATATACTTCCACAACAAAATATGCCCAACTTGAGATTAAAGCAGCCCCCCCCCCCCCCCCCCCCCCCCCCCCCCCAACCCCCCACCCCAACCCCTCGTCATGGGTGTCACAGATGGCGCCGTCCGAAAACCTTCGAGAATCCTAACGTTACCAGCGCTCAAAATAGCCCATCATTGCACCTCGGTTTAAGGGCTTTTTTAGGGTTTAAGGGTAGGGGTGGAGGTATGGTATGGAAGGCTCCCAACAGGACAGGGTCTCCGCCTCTATGTCACGCGCCTGCGAAACATCGCGTCCCCACGCGACTTGCGACACTTGCGACCACAGGTTGTTTGCGAGTTTCGCACGTTCCGCAGGTAGACAGAGCTGCGACCCCGCCGGATTTGCGATGTTTCCTCACGTCCACAGGTGGACAAGGTTGCGAGCTCACGTGTGAATGTTTCACGCGAACACTGTGATCCCACATCGTTTGTCAAATTTTCAGATGTTCTACGCTATGTTTTCGTGCGTTTCAAATCAAAGCACGAAGAAACATGCCACGCCTCGCGATTTGCAGCGATTTCGTGCATTCCACAGCACGAATAGCGGTTTGCGAGGAATGCACAGGCTGTTGTGTCTAGGGTTATGGTGGCTTAAGTAAGCATAGGTTACAGGCATGCGCTTTGCATTGCGTGCTCGCACATTACACCCAGGCAACCCTCAACCCTAAAACCCTAAACCCTAAATCCCCAAACCTAAACCCTAAACCCTAAAACCCTGAACCCTAAACCCTAAATCCCTAAAACCCTAAACCCTACATCCCTAAACCTGCTAAAACACCTCAAGCTCTACTAGCCCCAGAGCTGGGCACATCCCTGAGCCAAAAGTTTCAAGTATGGGCGCCTGTAATTTGGGCCCCTTGTTTATATCATATTAGGGTGTAGGGTTTAGGGTGTAGGGCTTAGGATTTAGGGTTTTGGGTTTAGGGTTTAGGGTACCCCTTATAAACTATACAATACAGAGTAAGGACTCATACTTCGGATCCTTAAGGGCGTGGGTAGGGGACCAGACTAAGGGAGCATGTAACTGCCCTAAACCCTAAACCCTAAACCCTAAACCCTAAACCCTATACCCTAAACCCTAAACCCTAAACCCTAAACCCTAAACCCTAAACCCTAAACCCTAAACCCTAAACCCTAAACCCTAAACCCTACCTTAGAGTGAGGCGAGCTCTTGGCAGCTGAGGGCAGGCCCCAGGACCGAACACGCGCGCGAAAGTCGGCGCTTAGGGGCCCTAAGTCATGGTTTGGGGGTTTAGGGTTTAGGGTTTAGGGGTTTAGGGTTTAGGGTTTTAGGGTTTAGGGGTTTAGGGTTTAGGGTGTAGGGTTTAGGGGTTTAGGGGTTTAGGGGTTTAGGGGTTTAGGGTTTAAGGTTTGGGGTTTTGTCAGGGTTTTGTTAGGGTTTAGGGTTCAGGGCTTCGGGTTTAGGGCTTGGGGCTTAGGGTTTTGGATCCATAAGGTTTAGGGTTTGGGGTTTGGGTTACGGGGTTTGGTTCAACTCTCCATCTTACAGCCCTATACTCCCAATGCCCAAACCCTGTGAGCACCCAAGCCAGAGGGCTTTGCTACTGTTTGGCTTAAGAACCCCACCACCAAAAAGTCTTCCTTCTAAGGGCAGTATAGGGATTTATTATCTTACGTTTTTAGTGGTTCTTCGGGACAGAGAGTTGAGTGTTTGGATTCGTGTTGCCTGTTTGTGTCTTGTCATGGCTGGTGTTGAGGAGTCAGCGGAATCAGTTTGGGCTTGGGTTCTTAGAGGGCTGTAGGGTCTAAGGGAAGTTTCATGGGCCTTTAATATGGTCCCTAACCTCCTTTAAAGGGTTCTGAAACACTTCAAGACCTTATTTCTAGAGACCCCAAGAAGCCGAGGAGTTGTTCTAGAATACTTTCCCCTTCTCATCTAGAAAGTGCCATAGAGGCCCTGACTAACTTAACCTAAACCCTAAACCCTAAACTCCAAGCCCCAAACCCCGAAACCCGAACCCTAAACCCTAAACCCTAAAGCCTAAGCCCGAAAAAGCCTTGGCCCATGCACAGTTTCAGGACCTTGGCGGCCCAGCTGCATGTAAAGCTGCAGGGAAGGTCAATGTTCAGAGTTCAGGGTTTTAAGGTTTAGGGTTTAGGGTTTAGGGTTTAGGGTGAGAGCACGGAGGGCACGAGTGAGCTCCCGGTACTACTTTGGATCCTGACTGTGGCAGAATCGTAACTTCTGTGGCTTGAGGCTTTGAGGTTCAGGGCTTGCGGCGAGGTGCGCTTATGCATCATGCCGCGCAAGCGTGCCTCGTCGTAGCGATTCCAAGATGACAAGGTTTTCAAAATTTCGGAGACTGGAGCGTCGCAAGGTCGGGCTCACTTGGAGCAAACCCGAAACTCTAAACCCTAGACCCTAAACCCGAGCATCCAGCTACGAGTACGAAGCAATGCGGCCGAGCCTTCATCCTTGTTGCCTTAAGGCCGCTATAGGGTAGATGGTGCGCATGCTGAGTTTACTTGAGGTTTGCTCCTTGACCGTAAAGCCCTACATACGACCCTAAACCCTAAACCCTAAACCCTAAACCCTAAAACCTAAACCCTAAACCCTAAACCCTAAACCCATACGACCCCGGAGCCCCTGAAACCCAAGCCAACAGTCGAACCTCCTCAAGCCCCACGCTGGGCTGAGTGTTCATGTTTCATGACCCTTAGAAAAAACACCTCGCGTCGTCCCTTTAGACAACCCGAAACCCAACACCCTGAAAACCCCTAAACCCTAAATCCTAGACCCTAAACCCCACAAGAGAAGGCCCAAAACCCAAATGCCCCCCCCCCCCCCCCTAACATGCCCCACTAAACCGGAAAAATTGAAGGTGAGGTTCCCCCATTCAAAACCACAGGGGGCGGCCTCTAGCCTAGGTTGGGCTTGTAGGTTTTAGGGTTTAGGGTTTAGGGTTTAGGAGATTATGAGGTTATGAAGCCCTAAACCCTAAACCCTAAACCCTAAACCCTAAACCCTGAACCCTAAACCCCATTGACCAAGACAGGGCACCTAGGGCTCTCGCCCCGCCTAGGCGGCTACTACTTCCCGGACCCCTTCTTGACGTCGCAGGCGATGCGACCAAGCTGCTTCGCTGGACTAGGGTTCGCCCTAAACCCTAAACCCTAAACCCTAAACCCTAAACCCTAAACCCTAGGGTGTTGGGGTGGTAGAGTTATTAGGGCTCATAGGGCTCATAGGTTTTACTACGTTTTGCTTCAGAACCCCCCCCCCCCCCCGAAATGTAGGGGTTACTATGTCTTTGATCTTTCGGTGGTCCTTAAGCTAGAAGTTTAGGTTTCAGGGTTTGGGGTTTGTTTAGGCCTGGGGGGGGGTGAGGGTTACGGGTTGAAGGATGATTCCTGTTAGCCCTTAAGTCCTGAGTGAAGTCCCCAACCCTATCAGGGACAGGAGCAGAGAAGAGAGAATAGAGGATAGTAGTGGGAAGAAGAAAAGAAAGAACAGAGAGAGAGCAGAGCAGAGGGAGGGAGAGCGAGGGAAAACCCTAAACCCTAAGCCCCACACCCCAAGCCCTAAACCCCAGGCCCTACACCCCAAGCCCTAAACC